GTAGGCCCCCGAGAGCCCAGGCTCAGAGAGCCCTCGCCACCCTCCCAGGTGCAGGGGAACGGGCAGCAGCACGTGGAGAAGGCCCTGAAGCTCTTCGCCCAGCTCATCAACAACAAGGTCTTCCTGCTCACCTTCATCCGCACGCTGGAGCTGCAGCGCAGCTTCTCCATGCGCGACCGCGGCAACGTGGCCTCGCTCATCATGACTGGGCTGCAGGGCCGCCTGGAGTACGCCACCGACGTCCTCAAGCAGCTGCTGTCCGACCTCATCGAGAAGAACCTGGAGAACAAGAACCACCCCAAGCTGCTGCTGCGGAGGTCTGACCCCACCTGGGCAGGGCGAGGGGGTGGCGGCATCTGCACAGGGAAGGGACAGGCACCCAAGCCGCACAGAGGAGGCCAGTCCCCAGAAAGGGCACCGCACAGTGTGGCCGGTGTCCCTGGTCTCCCAGAGTGGAGTCTGGTCCTGCGGGCCTGAAAGACTGCAGTGCCTCACGGAGCCAAGAGCACATGGTCCGCGTGGGACCTCCCCTGAGCACCATTGCTTAGTCTCCTCGTGGACACAGTGCGATAACACCTGTCCTGCAGTGTCTTCCCCTCCCTCTGCCTCTGGAGCTGGGCTGTCCAGCATGGGGCCGCTGGCCATAGCGAGCTGGTAACAAAATGAAATAAAGCGCAAACTCCGCGTGGCTGGTCGTGCCGGCCGCATTCCCGGTGCCTGGCTGCCCTGTGCTACCTGTGGCCAGTGGCCGCCATGCTGGACAGCACAGGTATCCCCATCTCTGCTCCTGTTGCCTGGCACAGAGCTATAGATAGGTGCAGGTTCCGTGCCCAGCCTCCGGGTTGGAATCACAGCATCTACCACTGCTCTGCTTGCCACGTTCCTGGCATCCCGTTCATCCGCCCTCTCTCGCAGCCATGGGGGCCAAGCACAGCGCTGCAGCCCCTCTGGCAGCAGGGTGGGAACATCTACCTCCACTCACGGCCCCTCCTCCTTAGCTGCTGTCTGGGTCCCAGGCTTCCAGGGCCCAGGTGGGGGAGGGCAGGGAGGAAGAGTGGCTTTGTTTTATGAGCACTGAGCCCCCATCCTGCCAATCTGAGCACTAGAAACTCTCATTAGGATCTGTTGTATTTAAATTAGAGCTAATCTCAGGCACAATGCAGGGAGAGGTTGCTGGGAGGGCCCGGGGAGAAAGCTACAATTTCTCCTCCGTTGTCACTCTCCCCCAGCCCCAGACTGCCGAGTGGCCCTGGCACATGTCTGGGATTTGCAGCACCGGAGGGTATCATTCGCACCCCACGTGGGGTTGGAGTACCCTCCGGCAGGCAGGCCTATCCATCACCGAGGTTGTCACAGCAGCTTTTCTTCCCCATCCCCAGACTCACAGCCTGGGAGGGGGACACTTGCAAAAGCAGATCCCCTGTTGGTCGCCCTTAAGCACTGCTCTCTGCCTGCCCAGCTGGATCCCAAGCCACACAGCAGCAGTAATGACAGCTCTCATTTACACACCCCGTCCTGGGGCTGGTGCTGTTCTTAGCACTCTGAATATCATAACTCTGTCAGCCCCAATAACACCTGTGTGAGGTAGATACCAAGACTGTGCCCTTTAGAAGTGAACCAGAGAGGTTAATGACTTGCCCAAGGCACACCACCAGCACATGGCGGAGTCGGGATTTGAACCCGAGACAGTCTGATGGAATTTTTGGAGAGGCAGGTGCCAGATGTGCAGAACAGAGTATTCAGGCACACAAGAAACCTCTGTGCACCACCCTGAGGCCAAAGGGAGTGGAGGAACTGGTCCTTCAGAGGCCTCCGGGAGGGCCAGACCTACAGCCCCTGCCTCAGACACAGCCAAAGCAGTGTGGGACAAAAGGTCCTCACCCACCATTTCCCCCAGAAATCTAAGCTCAGAAAGAAATTCGCACTCCAGACTCTGGTGCAATTGGGCTGGTACCTGGTGCCCCCCATTTTCCCAGGCCCCTGGAACCCACTCAGGCTCCAGTCCGAGACCCTGCCTGACAACTGCCCCCTCCTCTCCTCCCCAGGACCGAGTCTGTGGCTGAGAAGATGCTGACCAACTGGTTTGCCTTCCTCCTGCACAAGTTCCTGAAGGTGAGGGGGACCCCAGCCCTCAGAGCAGGGCCATCTGGCAGCGCTGGACTCCTCTCCACAACTGTGCACCCAGGGACTTGCTGGGAGAGGAAGGGCCCCACCACACTGCCCATGCCCACTGTGCCCACAGGAGTGCGCCGGGGAGCCCCTCTTCATGCTGTACTGCGCCATCAAGCAGCAGATGGAGAAGGGCCCCATCGACGCCATCACCGGCGAGGCCCGCTACTCCCTAAGCGAGGACAAGCTCATCCGGCAGCAGATCGAGTACAAGACCCTGGTGAGGGCCGGCACCACCGCTCCACCCCAGCCAGTCCATGGGGCTGCAGAGGTCGGGGACAGGCTGGGGAGCCCGGGGGATGCTGAGCATACCGAGGGCAAGGCAGCCCCAGTTCCTTCCTCCCGGGCTTTAGCCCAGGGTCAGTCTCCCCACAGCCCGCCAGGAACCAGGAAGTGGGTCTTGGAGAACGGAGGGGCGGGCGCAGGGCCAATTTCAGGAAATTGGAGGAACAGAGGCACAGAAGAGAGCTACACTTCGGCAGGGCGGCCCTGGGACGTGGAAGACTCAGAGGCCAGGCCTCCCCGCCCTGCTCCTCCCGCTGCTGACGCACACCCCACTTGTAGATCCTGAACTGCGTCAACCCCGACAACGAGAACAGCCCGGAGATCCCTGTGAAGGTGCTGAACTGCGACACCATCACACAGGTCAAGGAGAAGATCCTGGACGCCGTGTACAAGAACGTGCCCTACTCCCAGCGGCCCCGGGCCGTGGACATGGACTTGGGTAGGAGGCGTGGGCAAGAGGGCACTTCTGGAGGGGTGGGGCGATGCCAGCCCCCCGGAGCACAGCCTCCTGGAAGGGGCCTGAGAAGGGCTCACCCCCAGGCTGTTCCCCGGAGGCCCCGGGTCTCCCCACTCCCCACGTAGGCTTGGACATCTCTACGCACTGCCATGGACACCAGCACTGGGGCACCAGGGTTACTGGGCCCTAGAGCAGGCACAGCTGGGCAACCCTGCCCCTCACACTGCTGCCTGTGCCGCCTTCTCCCCAGAGTGGCGCCAAGGCCGTATCGCCCGGGTGGTCCTGCAGGACGAGGACATCACCACCAAGATCGAGGGTGACTGGAAGAGGCTCAACACGCTGCTGCACTATCAGGTGAGGCCTCTGCGCTCTGGGTTGGGAGGCAGAGACCTTCAGCCTCCCCATGATCCCTTCCTCTAATCACTGCGGCCCGGACCCCTGTCAGTGGGTCTGTTCCCCTCTTCTTCCTTTCCCGGATCCTGGAACAGTGCTTCTCAGCTCCTGGTGCCCTCTACATTTACTGGAGGAACTTAGACAAACGCGCGTCCTCAGGGCCCATCCGGGGACGGGCGGGACTGGCCAGACAGGAAGGCCCACCTGTGGCCGAGTCCTTACCTGACCACCCCCAGATGTGCCCGGCGCCTCCTCTGGTTTCTTACTCTCTGTGCTTCGGGTTTGCAAGGCAGCAGGGGTCTGACAGGCTTGTCTTCAGGTTCTGCTTCTCACCACCTCGTGTCCTCGGAAGGGTTACTTCCGTTGTCTGCTGCTTGGAAAAGTGGGCCTCTAGGAATCCCCGCCCTGCTTAGGAGAAAGCGTAGGCCGTGATGTGTTTGTGTGCTGGAAGACACAGCGAGCAGCCGAAAAACCCAACAAAAGGACACAAGATCCAGGAGCGTCCCCTCCTATCCCATGGGAAACATTTGGGGTGGGGCCTGGGGGACTCAGATGAAACACAGGTTCTCAGTTTGGGATTCAGGGAAGATACTAAAATAGAAACTGGAAACTAGAGCCACGAGAGAAGTTAAACCCACCGGAGGAAGCGCCTGGGGCTGCCAGGCCCAGGGGCTTGTCTGTTAATGACATTCCCACAGTCAGAGGTGCTGGCAGGCTGGGCTGGCAAGCACAGAGCTGCCAGTGACCAGCCCGCCGGCAGCCCTGGAGCTGGCCAGAGCCTTAGGGGCACAAAGGATGCCAAGGGACGCGGGGTACCCCGACGGAACGCCCGGGCCCCATCTTTCTCACTGGCCATCGTCCGCGTGCCCACGCCTCGCCCAGCCCATGCGGAAGGAGGGTGAGGATTCGGGAGCTGCCTCTAAACCCCCACCGCCCGCTCTGTTTAATCTCTCTCAACCTTGGGCTCCTCTGCAAAATGAAGACAGCAGGCCTGACTGAGCGTGGAGGTGAGGACCGGAGACCAGAGGTGAGGTACCCAGAATGCATACGTACGTGCGGAGGAGCACTAATCACGCCGTTAGTTCTGTACACCAACACCACCGTGACACACGGCCACTGCGGCCAACAGGACACTTGCGAGGAGCAGTTAGAACTGAATGAGAAGGTGCCGACGGGAGCAGCACTGAGGCCCCAAGTCCCGCATCTCCCAGGGCAGCAGTGGGCACTTGCTGCTCTCTGTGCTGTAACGCTGGCTCCTGGGCTGCCACCCTGCAGCACCGATCAGGAGAACAGAACGGTGTGTCTGTCCTCAGTGCTCATCCTACAGAGCACTTCCAGCTCCCCAATGTCATTTATCACTTACGTGTTCATCCATTTGTCAAACATTTCCCGCGCGTCACTGCATGTGAGACGTTTCTCACATGCCAGTCTGAGCGGCAGGGACCCCAGTCTTCCCTTTGGCAGACTTCGATGGCGACGGTGGTAGAGGTGGTGATACTCACCGTGGAACCCTACAACCAGCACCTCTCAGTGCTCGGTGGGCACCGGCCTCTGGCTCAGCCTTTGAGCATCTCAATTCCTTTAATAACCGTCACGGCTATGAGTATTAGACACGATTATTATCCCCACGGACAAATGAGACAACCAAGGCCCAGAGAGTTTAAGTTATCCAGCAGGTAGCCGAGGACCACCCCTACCAGGAGTCATGGGCACTGGCTTTCTCAACCCAGTTTGGGTGACAAAAACCAAGAATGAAAGCAGCCTGATGGCTGGACCCAGAATTGAGGTAAACTGCAGTCCTGTGAATCACTCACCTTGTAACATAAAAAATGGAATCTGTTCTTGCATGGAGCATAAACCCTTGTCCCTGCCAAACGTGTAGAGTGTTGCTCCTAGGGGCTTAGTGGCAAGGAGAATCCCTGAGAGAGAGAAGTTGCGAGTTCAGACTTAGCTGCCCAGCAGGGAAGCACCAGCACCAGCACCAGCACCTTCTAGGCTGTGAGGGCTCCGGGCCCTCAGGTCTGCACTGTGCTCCTGGAGTCAGAGGTCCTTGGAACCCCTACAGAAGAAAATCTGCAGAATCTTAATTAACAAAGAGATGTTAAAAAACTGCCCAGGCTCCTGCAGATTTATAGGGAAGGTAAAATTAAACACCACCTCTAAAACTGGCTATCAGGGAATCTCGTTAGCACTAATGTTCATTTACAGTTTGACTTCCCAACATTTAATTCTTTTTTGGTGGGAGAGAGGGATTGACAATTTAAGACCCAGAAAGATGGTTTTATGACTGGTGCGGCTATAAATCAAACTTATAAAGTTCATAAAAATTGTTAAAATAAAAAATGGTTTAATAGGAATGTTTTATGGCCCATAACATTATTATAGCAGTTTTATTCCCTCCGCGTTAGGGGTTTAATTGGATCGCCCGAATTCTGGGGATTCTCCGTTTTTATTGGATGGAGGGTAATCTTAAATCAAAACGGCCCCAAATGCCTTCAATATGGCTCCTCATTTATCAGCCCATCCCCGTTGGCTGGGTGCTGGGCCTGGCACCCTCAGACAGTGGAGTAGCGCACCATCTTTCTCTCTGATCCCCAAGGGCAGCTGCCCTTTGGGTAGAACCCATTCAAGGTAGCTCAGGCATCAGAGGACTCGGGCCAGGAAGAAATGAGGGAAAGTGTGTGCGACTTGAAATAAAATCCCAAAGGATGCTGTAAAGTGAGAATACCTGCTCCAGAGTTCTCCGGATCTGGCTACAGATCCTGGCTGTAATTATGAGACTTTGAAGATGTCCTGTAGCCTCCCCCTGTTCCATCCCTTCATCTGCGAAATGGGAATCATTATCCGGAACTTGCAGGGTGGGCAGCGGCCACATCTAGCCCCACTCTGTCCTGTAGAAACATAGTGCAAACCACACGTGCAAGGTGTGTGTGTAATTTTAAATTCTTCACTAACCACATTAAAAAGCAAACATTGGCAGATGAAATTAATGTTAGCGATGTGTTTAACCTACTCAATCTAAAGTAAGTAGTGTTACATTGTATAATCAATATAAGAATCACTAATGAGACTGTTTACACTTTTATGTATGCTCCATCATTGGAGCCCAGTGTATATTGTACAATGCTGGCACCTCCCGGTGCAGACACTTTCAGGGCCTTTGCAGTCGCATGTGACAGGAAGCTGCCATACCAACAGGGCCACTGTGGCCCAATAAAAGTGCAAAAAACAGCAGCCATGGCTATTTTTAGTCTTCCTGAATTCCTTACTGCCTACCACTCAGATCCTGTGATCCTCCACTACACTTGGCTGTGTGATGCCCCGCGATACTCGCATTCACCCGTACTGTGTCTTCTGCACCCTCTCAGGTGTCAGACAGGTCGGTGGTGGCTCTGGTCCCGAAACAGACATCTTCCTACAATATCCCTGCCTCTGCCAGCATCTCACGGACGTCCATCAGCAGATACGGTGAGCCCCCGGGAGGCAGCCCGGGCAGCTCAGGGTGGGTCCCGTGGGGTCCCTGGGACCATGAGCTGCCCTCCTCTCAGGGCAAACCCTCTGCCTGGCTGCCACTCAAAGGCAGTGGCTCGTTTGCCTCCCTTCCCAGCAATCCAGTCCTCAGAGGAACAGGAGTAGGGGCCCTGTGCCCTTCCTCTAAGACAACAGGCTTGGGAAGGAGCTGGGGGTGGGGGGCGCCTCTTCCTCATGCCAACCAGAGATCCCTAAAGTAACCCAGTAAACATGAGCTCCCACAGCCCTTTTCCGGTGGCCCTGGATGGCTCAGTGGATGCACAGAGGGTGAGAGTCCGGAGTAACTCGGCCCGCAGCAGGATGACCCCGGGCACTCACAGCCCTCCTCTCCCTTCCCTTCAGACTCCTCCTTCCGGTACACGGGCAGTCCTGACAGCCTGCGGTCCCGCGCCCCCATGATCACCCCAGACCTGGAGAGTGGGGTCAAGGTTTGGCATCTGGTGAAGAACCATGACCACGGCGACCAGAAGGAGGGTGACCGGGGCAGCAAGATGGTGTCTGAGATCTACCTGACCCGGCTGCTGGCCACTAAGGTAACTCCCACTCTGCCCAGGCAGGGAAGCCCTAAAGGATCCACTGAGCCATGACATGGTCCAGGACCACAGACGTAGTCCGCAGGGCATCGGCCCCTGCTGCTCTCTGCCCCTTAGCAAAGCAGCAGCAGAGCCACTGCTCCCCGCCAACTCCCTGAGAATACTGTTACCCCTTGGTAGAGAGCCCCTCTCAGTCCACCCTCCTGCAGGAAGACCTTACTGTTGTGTGAGTGGGGTGGACGGCACCCTCTCCTCACCCTAGCCCATCTGCCCCAGAGTTAGCAGAGGTGGGAGGCAGCTCCTCCTAGCCTTCCTGGGAGGGGATGAAAAACCCCTAAGGATGTTGGTCATGCGGCTCCTGTCTTCAAGTCCATGAGGTTTCCCCTGACGACCCCGAAGCCACGCTGCTGCATCTCCCGCAGCGCCATCCAACACAGCCCCATCTTGCCACCTGGAAGCCGGAGCCACTTCCAGACCTTTTCTCTCCATTTCTGCTTTGCCCAAGTACAATCAGCGCGCACCGAAGGCTAGCAGTTCTCCTGACCCACAGAGGAGGCCCTAAACCTGCCCCTCACCACAGCGTGCAACTGCAGATGAGAGGAGAGGTTCTGGAGACCCCAGCCCCTCCACCTCCCACACCCCAGCAGTGCCTTTCCCTACCCTGCCGCGCCGTCCACACAGCCTCGTCACAGATGGCGTCCCAAGGCACCATCTGCCACACCCGTCTGCTGCCTGCCGTGCCCCTCACTCCTCCACTTACACTGCCCCCTTCTGCCCCCCAGGGCACCCTGCAGAAGTTTGTGGACGACTTGTTTGAGACCTTGTTCAGCACTGTGCACCGGGGCAGCGCCCTCCCCCTGGCCATAAAGTACATGTTTGACTTCCTGGATGAGCAGGCAGACAGACACGGCATCCATGACACAGATGTTCGGCACACCTGGAAGAGCAACTGGTAACCCCAGGGGCGCCCCGCAAGAGGTGCAGCCCTCAGAGGCCCGGAGCTGGTGGGGTGGGGACAGCAGGATGCTGGAGACAGGAAGGCAGGCTGGTCCCAGCTGGGGCTGCGTGCGTGGGTTCTGTGCAGAGCAATGCGGCCTCCGGGCTGCCTGCTGGGGGGGTGGGGGCTGGAGCTGTGCACACACAGCTGAGCTCTGCCTTCTCGGTCTGGCTCCCTCCCCCGGGAGTGCCCGCCCTGACTCTGAGACCGCTGGTCTCCCGCCGAGGGAGCTGGGGCACCTACGCGGAGCTCACATGGGAAGCTGGCAGCAGAGCAGAGAGCCAGGCTTCATGGCATTCGGAGAGGGACACTCCCTGAGACAGGATGGTGGTACAGTCAGCGGGGAGTGGGCAGGGGCGTGCACCTGCTGCAGCCTTGAGCCCACCGCTGGGTCCCCGGACAAACTTGATCCCTTAAGCCCATTATTCTCCCCAATACCATAGCTATCAGGAAGCCGCAGCCAGTGCCCTGTGGGCACACATTCTCTTCCCCAGTCCCCTCCATATCCAGACCAGCAGTGAGAGGACAGCTCCCTCAGCTCCTGTCAGGAGACTCCCTCCTTGGTTGAGTGACCCTGGACCGCAGGCCAAGCTAAGCACTGGCTTTGGGGTCAGACAGGGCCTGGCCAAGCCAGAGTCAGAGGCTTCCTTTGGGAGAGAGCAGGGAGAGGGGAGGCCCTGGCATTTGGGTTGGGCAGGCAGCCCATGCAGCTGTCTGGAGTCAGCGATCTCAGAAAACAGAGCCGACACAGATGGGCCCAGGCTGTTATTTGGGAATCAAAAGTCCTAGCAACCAGCAAAACAGTTTAGGAGAGCCAACCCTGACCCCTTCTACTCCTGGCTTCTGTCGGGTGTTGTGGTCACTGACCCCACTGCTTCCGCAGCTTTGATAACAGTGCAGGGAAAATAGGCTGGGTGGCCGTGGAGCAAGGCGCCCACAGTAGAGGACACTGGGGTGGCCTTTCCTCTGTGTCTCAGCAACAGGATCACAGACAGTTCTGAGTTGTCCTACCCGTGCCTTCTGTGGGCTGGCCAGACCACTCCCCTGGTGTGGTGGGCAGAGTTCCTGGTCCACACTTTGTCCAGGAAAGATGATCAGAAGTCCCCCAGGTTGCCAGGAAGAGGAGGACCAAAGAGGTGTGTCTCAGCTGAGGCAGCTCCCTCCAGGTCACCGGAAGTGAGCATGTCGGGAAGAAACCCTAACTGGCGGCCGCTTGGGGGTGGGGGCAGTGGCCTTTCCCAAGATCTGACACTACAAGCACATCTGGGGAAGTCTGCAGTCTGTGAGAGTCAAGGCACACAGGACAAAGGATGGGAGAGCTGGGGCCCTCGTGTCAGGGCTGGAGGACAAGCCTGGGCAAGGGCTCCCTGCACACAGGCCTGAAAGAGTTAAGGCCGGAAGGCAGCTGGAAAGAGGCAGAACTGGGAAGGAAGGAACAGCAGCTGTTCAGGTTTTGAAGGAGGGTAAATGGGCATTTCCGCCTGATGGCCCCAGGAACAGAAAAAGCTCATTCCCCTCTGCTTGAAAATTCCCAAGTAGCCAGAGAAAGTCTCCTAACTACGGATGGCTCCTGTTGGGGTGGGGAGAACTCAGAGCTACAGTGAACCCTTCCCAGTGTCCCCTCCTCCCTCTGCCCCTGCCAGGACACAAGAAAGCCCTGGGGAGAGTCATGAAAGAACTTGCCCCAGGGGAGCCCATTCCTGGCCCAGCTGGGCAGGGCCAGCCCTGGGAAGCAGCGGGGCTGGGCGGAGAGGGCAGGTGGTGCCCTTTGTGCCCACTCTGAGGCAGTGCCTGGGGCGGCTGGCAGCCTCCTTCCAGACAATGGCCTCGAACGCTGGAGGGGAGACTCCAGGAGCCCCGTGGCTTTGTTTGAAGCTCTGAGAAAATTGTGTCCTCCTCTGTGCTTGGGCTTCCCTTGGGGCATAAAGCCTTAAAAAGCCTGCCAGAGGGGCTGAGTCCAGCCACGCCCACTCCACCCCTGTCAGGGAACAGGTCAGTGGCCTGTGGAGGTCCAGGGGCCCTCTCCTCCTCTCCCAGGCCCAGGGGGAGCAGCTCGGGCTGAGCAAACAGCCCTTGGCTCTAATTTCATTCCTCACCTTTCAGATAGAAGGTGTAACACTCGGGGTGCTCTGCCTCCTCCCACAGCCTCCCTCTGCGCTTCTGGGTGAACGTCATTAAGAACCCACAGTTTGTGTTCGACATCCACAAGGGCAGCATCACGGACGCCTGCCTTTCGGTGGTGGCCCAGACCTTCATGGACTCCTGCTCCACCTCAGAACACCGGCTGGGCAAGGACTCGCCCTCCAACAAGCTGCTCTATGCCAAGGACATCCCCAGCTACAAGAGCTGGGTGGAGAGGTGGGCAGCATGCAGGGTGGGCACCGCTCCCTGACCCTCCCACCTGCGGGCGTCCGGACTGAGAGCAGGGACCTCACATTCCTCCCCGTCCTCACTCAGAGTTTCTGCTACGAGGGGTGGAAGGGTGTGCTGGTGCCACAGGAAGCTGATGATCATTATCCCACTTACATGGATCAGGCACACCCTGATAAAGATTTGTGAGCACCATCTCACTGAAATGTCCAGTGGGGCACTGGGCAGTGGTGCACACCTGTAATCCCAGTGCTGTGAGAGGCCGTGGCAGGAAGATCACAAGTTCAAGCTCAGCCTTAGCAACTTGGTGGCTTAGTGAGATTCTGTCTCCAAATTTTAAAATAAGGGCTGGGGATGTGGCTCCTGTGGAGTCCCTGGATTCCATCCTCAATACCACGGTGCACACACACACCAGTAAAGTTGTCACTAACTATATCTTGCCCAAGGTCACCACTAGCAGGTAGCAGAGCTGGGGTTTGAACACAAAGAGTCTGCCGGAGTCTGGGCTTCTGCCCACTCTGCCAGGCCCTGTATGCTGGAGCTCGGAGCTGCATGAGGCCAGCACATGAGAAATGAGGGGCAGGAGCAGCTGGTGCTGCCAGGGGCTGGAGCCAGGTTAAAGGCAAGCAAACCCTTGCCGTGTCCTCATCCGGGCCTTGTCCTGTGTGCGCAGATACTACGCAGACATAGCCAAACTTCCCGCCATCAGTGACCAGGACATGAACGCCTACCTCGCCGAGCAGTCCCGTCTGCACGCCGCGGAGTTCAACATGCTGAGTGCCCTCAACGAGATCTACTCGTATGTCAGCAAGTACAGCGAGGAGGTAAGGGGGCCGGGCAGGCGCAGAGGCAGCGTGCGGGCCACCAGGGCATAGGCCTGCTGGGTCCTTCCATAACAGTGATTCAAGGACCTAGCTGAGCAAACCATTTGGAGTCAAAAGCCCATGAGCTCAAAACCATTATCATTTCTGTGTAAGTCAGCGTAACTGCTCCCTGGTTCAGTGGGCACTTTCTTCTGCATGGTTGTCTCTTCCACCCATTGTTAACACAATAAATAACACTTTTAATAATTTGCTTTTCAATTCAGATCATTGCATGATTGTCTTAATTACTTTTCTCTCATTGCTAAGACAAAATACCTGACACCAAAATTAAGGGAGGAAAGGCTTATTTCTGCTTACAGTTTGTAGAGGTTCAATCCATCGTCGGCTGGCACCAAGGCAGGGAGGCCTGGCAGATGGGCATCACAGAGGAGAAACAGGTCATGGAGGGCAGAAGGCAGCCAAGCAAGCAAGAAGGACAAAACAAGCCTCTATCAGAATCAGGGTCAATACTAGCTAACTCATAATGCTTCCTATGTACCAATGTTTTAAACAATGTATATATGCACATATGTTCACATATGTGCATGTATTTAGATCTGTGCATTACAGGCACACACTACAGGACGACATTTGGGTCAGTACCACACCACATGCCTGATGGTGTCATTGTAATGGAGCTGAAGCATCCTGTGTGACTTCATGGCCCTCTTAATGACCCCGGCTTTGCTTGTGTTCATGGTGATACATAAAACCCTCTCCTGTTCCAGCAGTCAGTCTGCAAAAGTGTGGCACATGCAGTTGGGTCCAGTAGTAATGCTTGACATTGAAGGGCTGTAACTGGCGTACACATTTTCTATGCTAGACTTTTTATCATCATTTTAGAATATATTCAAATTCTACTTACAAAATAAAACAGCTGACCCTAGAACAGGACACTACTGCCGGCCTCACATCTTATTTACTGTGCTTCTTGGTGACATCACTTTCTTTTGTCCTTCACTTAATTTTGCATTTTTGTGATGCCAAAATCATCCAGTGACCCATTTCTCAGGAAGTGCCCTCAAGGTTAAGTGATGCAGGATTGTACGTTAGTTAAATGTCTTCGTTGGCTTAATCACTCAGTTACCGAAGGTTACGGGAGGGTAGACAGCAGGGTGGAGGCTCTGCGGACGGTGTCTGGGCACCCGGCCCGCAGTCACCCCTCTGCTCTCCCTCAGCTCATCGGGGCCCTGGAGCAGGACGAGCAGGCGCGGCGGCAGCGGTTGGCCTACAAGGTGGAGCAGCTGATCGGCGCCATGTCCATCGAGAGCTGAGAGGAGGCCTGCACTCCTGGGACGAGCGACCCGTCCAAGCCGTTACCCTGGAGTCTCGGAAGGAAGACAGTGCAGTGGACCAGCCCGAGCTGGCTGCCCCTGAGGCCCCATCCGGGGGAAAGGGGTGGCCCCTCCCCCGACGCCAGCCGGTTCCTGCGGGTCGGACAGCGGGCGTCCTCTGTCCATGGCGACGGCACCTAGGGACGCCTCTGGGCAGGAAAAGGCGGCCCTTCCAGCTGAGAGGCTCAGGCTCCAGCCTGCCTCTGTGACTGCTGCTTTGCATGAAATTCATTTGTTGTATATTGGGGAAATAATGAGAACTTTATTTAATTTTTTTAAGAAAAAGGAAAAAAACAGAAATAAAACAAAACGAAAAGCCGCCCTGTTAATCCCGTCCAACTTTTGTTTAGCTCTGACTCCCACCCCTTCCTTCTAGTCCCTGTCGTCTCTCCTTCCTCGTGTAAGTCCTCTTTCCAAATGCCAGGAGGAACCAGAGAGATACAGAGAAGCCAGAGAGGAAGAGGAGGACCCCTTTCTCTCCACTTAGGAAACAGGAAGGGCAGCAGCAGGAAAATGAATGAGCTCGCCCTCCGCACCAAACACTGACAAACCCAGGAGCCAGTCAGGCCCGGAGGCTCCTGACGGCGGGGAGAGCGGGACTGGGCACCCAGCGCAAAGCCACACAGTCGCTGCGCCTGGCTGGCAGGGACTTGAGCTTTATACCCACACACTCTGTTCTCGTCTCCATAGAGAAGGGCTATCTACCGCACACCAGTGCTTTCTGCTGCTGTCTTGGAGCTTAGTGAATTCCAAACCTCAGCAAAGTAGGAGCTGATCTTTGGTACTTTTCCTTTTGGTTTCCTCAATGTGGACCTGAGAAGCGGCCCTCCCCCAGACCGGACATCTGGCTTCCCAGGGACGGCAGCAGCTCAGCCCTGCTCCAGTCCCTCCCTGAGGCAGGGACACCCGGGGGTGTGCCAACCTGGTCTCCAGGAGCTCCCTCAGGGTTGGACTGGGGATGAGGGTGTTTGGCTTCGGATTCCACTCCAGTCATCCTATGGTTCCTGGAAATTAAAGAGAAAACAAAAATCTAACAGTGTTTACAGCAAGCAATACTTGAAGAGCGTAGGTTTAAGAAGCTGTAGTATTTATTGTTCTACTTTCTTTCATTCTCTCGTGCCTGGAGAGGGGAGACAACCCTTTGCTCACGTCCCCAAGCTCCCGACCACTTGGGCCAACCACACTTGCCTCAGCAGATGTGACTGCCATGTCCCCGACTCACTGTCCCTTCTGCCTCTGTGGACCTGTGGATTTGAAGGACAAGTGAATGTATTCTCACCGGGCTCCTTTTCTTCTCTCTCCTGCTGACTCCTACCAGCACGGATGGCCTGTTCTCCTGAGTGTAGTTTCCAGACAGAGACTGAAGGTCTGTGCTTGGGTCCAGAGGCTCCCAAGAAGCTGATGGAGTTATTCAAAGGAGGGCACCTCTGGGGGCAGCAGGACATTGCACAAGGGTCCACCAGGAAGTCCCAGCATCCGTCCTTGGCATGGATCCAAGCAGCCAGCTCCAGCTTCTCTGCAAGCAGCACTGCAGCCAGGACAGGAGAGCAAGGGAAAGGCAAAGGGGTAAAGTAAGGGCAGCAAGAGGAGACGAAACCTCCCCTTTCCACCTTCTGCTTTTCTAGGGTTCAGGCATCCCAGCCACAGTGGTGGGAAAGTGGACCAGCGACCCCAGGAGAGCCAGGATCAGGGTCATTTCCTCTGCAGTTAACTCGGGGCCCAGCCCCTCATGCCAGGCTGTACCTGCAGGTGGCTCCAGTTCCCGGAGGCTCTGCTGACCACATGTGACTCCCAGGAATCTCCGCCGGGGAGGCAGCGTGGAGGACTGGCCTCCCTCTTTGGCTTGTGACTTTGGCTGTGTCTGACCACACAGCAGACCCTGCCTGGTCTCTTCAGCTCTGGTTTCTTGCCTGAATGCAGCTGGCAAATGGGAAGAGAAAAGCATTGAGCAAAATACTCAGGAAACTTGCTGTTTTCATTATGATTCACAACCAGCCATGCCAAGGCCACTTTCTTCTGATGATCTACTTCTGGGAACGTTTCCTGGGGTCCTTTAATGGCCTGAGAGAAACCCTAATGATGGACCCTCTGCACTAAGCCAAAGTGTTTGCTCCTCACAGCAGCCAAAGCTTCTCAGCTCAGAGCCCACAATGTATGGAAATAAAAGGCAAAGAGATACAGCCGGAAGGACTCGAGCAGCGGCTTTTTGATCCCCGTGGAAAATTCCAGCCCACCCACGTCGAGCTCCCTGCCGCTGCACCTTTTCTGCTAGTGCCCTGCCCCTCCGGCCTCATCTTAGGCAGCCTCTGCATAGCTGATGTCCCCTGCCACGGAGAGGAGGGGCGCGCGGTCCCCACACACAGGACAGAGGCCCCGAGTGCGGGGAGAAGGGGCAAGCGCTTTACAGCACGACACTAGGCACCAAGCCCACCGCCTCCCCCAGCTCCTCCCACTCGAACCCGCTCCCCTTGACACACTGGAACCTGTATCATATCTATTTTTAAGAAAATACAATGATGGTTGTCTGGCTTTGTTGTTTTTATAGGTGTTGTGGAATAATAAGAAAATTATTTAAGATGTTCCAATAAAATGGGGTTTTTTGTTATTCTAATATATTATCCTGTACCTATTGTAAATATGAAACACTCCTATTTTGCAAGCCAAGGACACAATTTGTACTGTTGTTATATATAAATAAAGTTTACTGGATAAAAAAACTTAAATCTTCAAATAAACTTGGTTTTTTGGCAGCATATATGCAGAATACCTCACAGGCCTATATCAAAGTGGGATGCTTGCAGAAAGATGAGCTAAGTGGTTTTGAGGGAGTTGTAGAATTCTCTGTGGAGCCAGAACTTATTAATGTCCATTAATGTCTGGTCAGCATCATAACACGCGTGCACACACACGCGCGCACACACACACGCACACACCCACCCTGCTCCAGCTGCACCCGTGGGTGGACACCGCCCCCTGGCCCTAGGGCCCCAGAATACAGCTCCCCGATGCTGCCGCTGGGAGTGGAGGCCCCTCTCCCACAGCGGAGTGAGAACATCCACCCCAACTCTTCCCGAAAAGCACACGCGTTCATCTGTGCCAATCCCGCGGTAAGCATGGCTTGGCCCAGAACTGTGTGGTGAGTGGGGACAGAACGAGAATGAAAAGGCAAGGCTGCAGCAGTCAGCAGTGATTTCGGTGTGGTGCAATCCCAAGGATTCCGAGAGGGGAATATTGCAGCCAGGCGTTGAGAAGGATTGCGTCTTTAAATCTTTGTTTCGTTATTTGTTTTTCTTCTTACTTTTTGTTGAGGGACAGATACCGGACAGCATACACTCCCAGGTCCACGGAGTGGGGGCGGGAATGGGGTCGAGAGCACAGTTCACGGCTCTGCCAGGAGGCTTCCCCGTAGCAAAGCAGCCACATGACCCCAACCCTTGGCACCCTCCCACCTGAGGCTGCCACATCTCCACCCTTCTGTTCCTCCACGCCTCTATTTTTTGTCCTGAAATACCAATGTGCATGGTGGCACCACTGAGACAAACAGATAAGAACAACTCAAGAACCCACCTGACAGCCACTCATGCTTGGAGACTGCATTTCCCGCCCCGGTAAAGGAGCCCGGAGAGTATTCTGGGCCCACAGCCAGGCACCTGCACTCAAGGCGGAGCCTCCGAAGGCAGTGGGTGGAGGCTGTGCCATCCCAAGTCTGAAGGGGGACACGGATCCTGTCCTGCAAGAGACCATGGCTGACATGGCTGGCGACACATAAGGACGGGGCCCGGGACTTGTGAGGACAAATCAGGGACGTGCAGGTGAAAGAGTGCTGCGCTCGAGTCGCTGAAACTTCACTAGCGCAAGAAACAACAGCTGTGAGGGTTTCTCAGTCCCTACACAGCAGGCTCTGAGTTCGTGTCCGTGTGCCCGCCGCACACTCGCCTCCCAGAGAAAGAGGAACACAGACCAGACGCAGGTACTGAGGGTGAGAAGGTGCAAGCACAGCACCCTGCCGAGGAGAGAGC